TCTTATATGTTCTTAAAACAAAAGGAAGCTTAAAATAGAATTGTATGACTAAATAAAATTGTATGGCCATCTGTCGGGGGTGCTTTGATTGGGAGTTCCTGCATGGCAGAATGGGGTTGGACTGGATGGCCCTTGGGGTCTCTTCCAACTCTATGATTCTATGTAGGAACACAACAATAACAAGTGAAGAAGGCTTAAATGGAGGGCACGTCCTGGAAAAGGAGGACATCTGGTCTTACCCTGATTAGCTTCCAAGATAAGAAGGGACCTGGTTCCTCTAGTTTTTTGGACTACATCTCCCAGAATGCCCTGGCCACCTTGGCCAAACAGAGTACGCTTTTAATTGTACTGTTTTTTTTAATGTTGTGAGCCACCCTGACCCCCAGTTTTGGGGAAAGGTTAGGATTTTCATAATAATAATAATAATAATAATAATAATAATAATAATAATAATAATAATAATACAGGACTTCTGGGAGATGAAGTCCAAAACATCTGGAGTGCCAAAGTTTGAGAGCCAGTGCTGGATTATGACTCCAGAGACCAGGGTTCAATTCCCAGCTTGGCCATGAAACCCATTGGGCAACCTTAGTCAAGTCACACTCTCTCAGCCTCAAGGGATGGCAACGGTAAACTTCCGCCGAACAAACCTTGCCAAGAAAACCCCATGACAGTTTCGCCTTAGGGTCTCTGACTTGAAGGCAAACAACAAGAAGAAGAACCCCCTGTTATTGTTTGTTGGTGGTCTCCCATCCAAGTACCATCCAGGGCTGACCCTGCTTAGCTTCCAACTTCAGAGGGGATCTGGTGCCTCCAGATATTTTGGACTTCATCTCCAAGGAGCCCTGGCCACTTTGGCCAACCATTTTGGAGTTCTGAAGTCCCAAAACATCTGGAGGACCCAAGAATTTGAACCTCTGCAAAAGAGAACTGGACTCTTGCAAAGGTGACCTAAGGGGCAGGGGGCGTGGCAAGGGGCGTGGCAAGGGGCGTGTCCTTGCAAGCCAAGGCTCCTCCCACTCCTGCCATGTGTTTTTTGCTGGCAGAGAAGCCTAGAGGCTGGCTATTAGAAAGAGAAAGACTCTGAAGCTTCATTTTAGGAGCAGAGGAACCTGGAGAAGGAGATTTTTACCCAGCTCTCATCATATCATCTTCCCTGCAAAGAGATCAGGTCAGTTTTCACCTTTTTAATTTTTTATTTTTTATTTTTGGGGGCTTCCCCCCCCCCCCAGGGATGCCTAAAAAAGGCTGAAATGGAGGACGTGTCCTGGAAAAGGAGGACATCTGGTCACTCTGAGAGATGCCTTGGAGCAGGGTTGGCTGGTTTTAAACTAGGTAGGTTTAAAAATCAATTTAAATTTAATTGCTTGTTAAACCAAGTTGGTTTAAAAATTAATTTAAATTTAATTG